GGAGTTTATCCTCCAAAAAGACTCTCACACAAACTCTAGTAAATTCACGTCTTCCCCACAAAAACATATTTCTGTCTAACATGATTGGTTTTCCAGCTTTTGAATCTATTCTAGCAATAGCAATATTTTATTCATCCCAACAATGCAAGGGAAGTTGAGTCATTCTTATCCAAATGGGAGATGATAAGCTTTTTAATGAGGTAGGAGAAAATTTGGGAGACCACTTGTCCAACCCAATAATGAGACCATTTACAAACCAGGGACCATCTGAAAGCACCAACTTCATTGCTTCAGCGGTTCAGAATGACCAAAACACCTATCATTTTGCAAGAATAATAAGATGAAACCAGCCCAAATTCACCCATTTTCTCCTTAATTTAGTGGCCACAATATGATAAGGTAATTCTAAGCCAAATACCTTAACAACCACAACAAACCATAATTTATCAACATTTTCCATTTGATTATGATTTTTTAATCTCACAGCACCTTCTTCCGTATAAAAAGTTTTATTTGCCTCACAATTAATTCTTATGAAAGGACACTTAGACCAAGGATTAATAGGAACATCATTAATAATCTGATTAGAAGCAGGTTCTCTAAACCCATTTGAATCCTCCACTACCAATTTCTCCACATTAGGTTTATTCATATCATTCACAACATTCAAATTAAACACATTGTTAAATTGATTAAGATCTGGATTCAAATCCATTCATAAATGGAGTTTGAATTACCAAATCTATTAACAAAAATCTTCATGCCTAAAAAAGATGCTTTCAAATCCTTGGGAGATAAAAGGGATGCCAGATTTTAAATTTTCTTTAATTATAAAAAGAGGCAAATTGAATACCTCATGAACCACCTCTTTTCCTTTCCCTTATACAATATTCATAGTGTTTAAACCACGATGAACATTATCTCTGATTATGAGTAGACCTTCCATCTTCCTCACAGCTCCATCAATCATACAAGATCAACCACCATTTGAACGATAACCAAGATTCCATTAATGCAACGAGAACCACCTTGCGGAGGCACCATCAAACTTGTGTCTGGTGATGAACATCGACCTTCAGCCGCCATAATAGACTTCCCACTGGAAAAACAAAAAATAAAAAAAAAATTTGAAAAACAAGGTTTTCTCTCTCTAGAAAATGGGAACTTATCTCTCTAGAAAAAGGGAACTCTGTATAACTCAAATATATAAACATATTTGAGAATTTGATTACTAAGACCATTTGTACATATCAATAGTGGTTCTCAGCAAATAATTTTTTTATTTCTATTTGGATTGGTATCTGATATGAAGTTGAGTTATAAGACAATCAAACCCTAAATGATACTTTTAATTATGTTTTATATCTATAGGAGCAAAATAAGGTATCTTCTTTATTTAGAAATTGATGTCAAAATTCAATCCTTTTATCATGATCATACTCTACCCAAATGTTTTCTTCTAGGACCTATACCCTATTCATCTTTTGCTCAACCTATTAAGAGTAAAGCAAAATCATCTTCTATGACTAAGCATATAATTCAAGTGTCACAAGAAAGGCCATATGAAGCATTAGTACCTGACAAAGATCATGTTCTTAGTTGAGGCTAAAGAACAATTAGAGGAAGAGAGTGTGGATGATGAGGTTGAGGATATTCAGGATGATACTCCTCAATATGATGAGGAAGTTCATTATGTGTGAGACCCTATAGTTATGATGAGATGTTTTTCCATATCTAGAGATAAAGAAGATTGTAGAAGGATAAAATATTTTGCCATGTATATCATGTGCAAGGAGAAGAGCTGCAAAATTATTATAGATGGAAGGGGGGGGAAGGGGGACTAGAGCAAGCCTTAAAATTTAACGCCACCTTGAAATTTTTCATGTGAGTTCAGTAAACCATACATCTTTACCTACCATAGTAAAGTGTTTAATGCTTATCAAAATTGAAAGCTATGTTGATCATATTTGGTATGATGTCCTCCATATGTAAATCACTCATATATTATTAAGGAGTCATTAGCTTTATGATCTAAAGTTCATTCATTACCGTAGAGATAAAATATATGTTTTTAAATTCAATAATAATACCATAAAACTATTTTTAGTCAGACCCACTTAAAAGAGACCTATTATAATTCCCCATAGGATATTTCTTACCCCTTTAAGTGATTAAGTAGATAAAATACCTACAAATAATGAACATAAGAGTTTTTCCACACTTCCATATAAGCTTAATTGTAAACTTTAACCTCAACTTATAGTAATTTCATTTCCTACTATTAGGTAGAGCACCTTTGACTTAGCATTATTGAGTCATACTCCTACACTTTTACCTATGAATATTAAAATGACAAAGATAGGATTAGGTTGAAATTTTTTTCTAAACCTACAATGTATTATTTTCTTTAAGTGAGGGAATTAGTATAAGAACCTTCTACGTATCATAAACCTACTGTATTAGATCCCATGTTATCTAAATTTCAGGATTTTTGTCTTGAGAACCTACCTTATGGTTGATAAGATATTACTAAGTTTTATACTTCTATTGCTTCTTATAATATGATATAAATCATGTTCTATGCAAGTATAGGTGTCGTGTCAAGTTAAAAAGTGATGAGTCGAGTATCATTCCCATGGGGATATAAGTTGTCCATATGTAAATTTATACTCTAGTACTTCATATAGGAACTTTTTAATTTATCTTATTGGTCGAATAAAAAGGTTATGTAATTAATAATTAACAATTATAGATTCAAGAGGCAGTTTCTTTATGTAAAGTACTTTGAATATACAATATTTAAAAACACACGTTTGTAAAAATAGATTTTCCTAGTGTTGTGAATTAGAGCATCATTATCATCATCTCTATCGAATTCATTGGAATGTTTAGCTAAGATTTATTTCATATACAATTTTAATAGCTCCTTATGATCTCATAACCCTAATAATCATATGCATATGTATGGCATAGTTACATTCTAAATCAAGGCCTCTACATAAACTAAATTAAGCATGAAGGATTTAAAAATAATAATGAATAATTCATGTAATTCCAAAATTAACTAAAGCAGGACATGGTTCCAAATGTATCACAAGCCTAGAGAAAATATTTTAGCTAGATATTAAATTTTAACAATCAAAAAAAGCTTTATTAAAATTTAGAAAATAAAAATATAGGATATAATCAAGGACATACATCACCAGTTAATCCCTTACATATGATTCTCTAGACTCTTATTTGACTAACACAATATAAACATATGGCTAACCCCCTCTATAGCCTCATACACTCACACTCTCAATAATAATAACTAGTACTAAATGGGAATTTTTTTTTATAATTATAGTCTTCATAAATAACTAAACTGGCACTAAGGTGCTAACTAGTTAGCATTATGGTTCTATTGAATTGATGTGTCATTTCACCATTCATCTAATTGGTTCACCGATTTAAGTGAATATAACTTATCTTCCATAATGGTCCATTATTGATTTGACCTTGCAGTCCCAATTCTAACATTGGAACACTCCCTATATAGTGCCCCGATGTTAAGCTCTATGAAATAAAGTATTCTACCACCACAGTGCCAAACTAGTACCACTTGATCCTTAAGTAACTATAGTGCTACGACACTCTATCTGTGGCACTTAGTGCTACTCCAATATGAGAACATTGGCTTATTTCCTACATAAAATGATAGAATTAAATGGATATTTCTTAAAAAGAAATAAATTTTGGATTATATAAATTTTCTCTTATTAAATTTCCCTAATATTTAAGATATTACTTGTACTCAAGTAATTGATTTTGCACTTAAATCAAATTTTCTTTTACTAGAAATTGATATTTGGAAATTATAAAACAAATAATACAAGTATTTATTCAAAACATATGTTGTAAAATTTTCCAATAAAATAATTTATAACAACCATTCATTCAATAGTTTTAGTAAATATTTCTTTAATGTTAAATTCCTATGTGTATGTGATAGATTTAATAAACTTTCTTAGGGTTAATGACTTTTTTAATTTAATGGAATTTACAAAATTATTTAATTCATTAATCAATCTCTAAGGTTTATTTAAGTATTATGATTTTAATAATTGCTCTTAGAAGTGTATAAGTTGGGCAAGGCATTTCAAGTACCAATTTTTGATAATCTTGTATATTACTTTTTTTTTTCCTCTTATTTTCTTTCAAATTGGCTGAGTGCCTTATAATGATTTGAATACTTATCTATTGCTTTAATTTTTTCTTTTATTTAAGTGGAGCTAGACATTGCAGATACCAAATTGATTGTTTAGTACTTACTTGTTCAATTTTTAGTTTAACCTTTTTATTTACTAAATATTTTATATAAATTTTTAATACATGTCTATTGCCTCAAATTTTATTCTAAGGTTTATTAAAGGTCCCATAATTTCCTAATTATTTAATTATTATATGATTTAAAATTAATCTTTATTTATTCACATTAATCCTCCAAACAATTAATTCTTTATAAGTAGTCAACTACTTATGTGGTTCAAGAAATTACTATATTAGGAATTATTAATTGTTGGGTTGATTTTGTAAGGGTGATTTTTCCAACCTGGGTGATAAGTATTAAAGGATGAGTAATTTTGTCTATTGTTGATGGCACTTAATGATTCAACTACTAATGCATTTTGGTCCTTAGATAATCCATAAAACTTTCTTCTATTGGGAAATGTGTGTTTTGGGATTTACTAACTCTAATGTTACACAACGTTTTAGATATAGTAGCTACTTGTGTAGTTAAAATTAATAAATCTTCATATTCGTACATATTAACCACTTTCCTAGTATTCGCTCTCTCAAATGACCATTAAAACTTATTGATTACCATTTATTAAATCAAATAATATTCTTCATCGAAAAGTTTGAAAATAGCAAAACCTCTAGTAGCTACATCTATAATAGATCTAAGAGAACCTACAAGACAATTATAGAACATCTAAATGGCAAGCCAATAGGGTAATGCATGGTGGGGACACTTTCTAATCCATTCTTTGAATCTCTCCCATATTTCATAAATTAATTCTCCATCTAATAGGGAGGATGAGGAAACATCATTCATAAGTCTGTAGTTTTAGATGAGGAAAAATACATAGATAGAAATTTAAGAGTTAAGTAATTCCAGGTGATGATTGAGCTTGGGAGTAAAGAATTTAACAACATCTTAACTTTGTTCCTTAATGAGAATGAAACCAATCTAAGTCTAATAGCTTCATAAGAGACTGATATATTTGAATAAAAAACATATCTCCAACAAACTTGCTATATGCAATTTAAAATCTTATATCGGGATTCCCCCAAACTGAGAATTTTATATGATTTGGATTATAGCAGGTTTTGGCTCAAAGTTACAAGCCTAAATATTTGGTCTATTAATGCTTTGGTTAATACCCTTAGCTGTAGGATTAGTATATTCTCTAAGTGGTCTAGGTTTATCATTCTTCTGAATATGGTTAGGCATTCTTAATTCCTCTTGGGATCTATTAAAGTTTCTATTTTTTTAAGAGTTCTTTCTATTTTAGAATCAAACAAATTTTCTGATCACCTAGTAAGTTCATATTATGCAGGTAATAATAATACTCATAATTTAAACAATTAAAAGCATTATATAGTTAAATAATTAAAATACAACAATACTAAATTTTTGCAGAAATAAACAATAATGGAAGCGTAGAATAAGTTAAGTAAACATAATGATAAAATTAAATCAAGAATCCATCCATCAATATGAAGTGCAATATAGGATTAATAACTATAATCTATTGCTACAACATAAATAGTTGATAGAGTATTTAGTGAGTTCTAGATTTATATTGTTTGCTATATTGTGATGCTAATATTATTCTATGCATGTATACTTATCATGTCAAATAATAAAGTGATGATTTAAGTATATTCCCATGACAATTTGATTTACCTGTAGGTAACTCTAGTGCTGCCTAGATGATCCACTCACTTTATCTTATCGATCAAACAAAAAAGGGTGCACAATTGAAAATTAACAGCTTCACATTCAAGAATTAAATTTATATTTAATATTCTTTATACATATGATATTTAAGAACTCAAGTTTGCATTAGTAGATTTTCCTAAAGTTGTTATGAATTAGAGCATAATAATTCTTCATCTTTATTGAGTTCATTAGAATGTTTTACTAAGATTTCTCCCAACTATAATTTTAATATATCCATAAGATCCCAAAATCCTTACCACCATATGTGTATGCATGAAAAAGTTATTTGTTAAATCTCCTAATTATTCTTTTACTCCTCTATGAAGGCAGTAAATTACACTATAATTTAAGTTCATACAAGGTCTCTAAATAAAATAAATTAAGCATGGAGGTTTCAAAATAATATTGAATAATTTATGTAATTATAAATCTAAATAAATTAGAACATGGTTCCTAAAGTACCATAAGCCTAAGGAGAAGTTTTTAGTCAGACATGAAATTTAACAAAACAAAACATGCTTTATTGCAATATAGATGATAAAACTACAAGAGATAAGGATAAAAATCTCTAGAAAATCCTATACAACTGAATTGCAAATTGCTTGCACTCTTCCCTTCTCTATCTAGACTATTACTAGACTAATACACATGAATAAATGGCCAACCCCCCCTCTAGTAGCCGATACACTCACACTCTCAATAATAATTACTACTTCTTATGAAATACGCTTCTTATTTATAACTTTCACAAATAATTGTATTGGCATCATAGTGCTAACTAGGTAGCATTGTATCATTGCAAAATTGACAAGTTGGTTAATCATTCATCATATAAATTCATTGGTTCAATCATCTTTAACTATCTTTCATCATGGCACTATGACAAATTTTTACTGCAGTGCTCCCTGTGTAGCACCTCGACATTAAGCTCATGGATGAGATCTAGTCCTTTGTCATCAAAGCGTTGAACTATAGTACTCTATCTATGGCCTTATAGCTTCTTTCAATTTGAGAATATTAACTTATTTCATACATAAAAAAAGATAGAATTACATAATTTTTTTACAAAATTATATACATTTTGGACTATATAATTTTTCTCTTGTTAGTTGTCTACCATCTTAGAGTGATATACTATGTGCAATATACTTTATTCATCATTCACAACTACCTAATGTTCCCCATTTTAGGATGAAGTCCATAGTGCATATTGAACTTAAAAGATAAGTAGATGAACTACTTGGAAAAATCTTTATCCAGGTGAGCCTTAGTCCTTGTGCAATTCCAAACCTACTAGTACCTTATACTGATCGAACATGATAAATTTGCATTGATAGCAGAGCTAGCAATAAAATTATAATTAAGTATAAATTCCCCATTCCTAAATTAGAAAATTTGCTAGATCTTGTTGGAAATGATACCTTTTCATAAAGATATATCTAAAAATTGGACATCATTATATTTGAATTAGGTCAGAAGATTAATGGAATACTTCTTTAAAAACCTCTAATGATTTGTCTTATGAACACAATTCTAAAACCATTCATAGGGAAATTTGTTTTTGTCAGCTTTAATGAAATTTTGATTTTTATTTTAATGTGAAAGATAACATATGACACTTGACATTAGTCCTACTCAAGTTAACAAAAGTTGAACTCTATGTCAATTTTAAAAAAAAATATTCCTTATATTTTCCCAAAGTCACTTTTCACGGGTTTATAGTGTCAACAGATTGCTTGATAGCTAACCATGCCAAGATGAACTTATCCCAAGTTATATTATATCAAAGAGTTTCATTGATGTTCATAGCTTTCATGGATTAGCTACCTTGTTTATTAGAAACTTTAATATTATGGTAGCTACTATCACTAACATCTTGAAGAAAGACAACTGGACTACAAATGCTCAAAAAGACATGAAGCAAATGAAAGTGTCACCTTTTTTTAAACTTTCATGTTTCGCTAAGACATTTGAGTTCACTTGTGATGCTTTTGTGTTGGTATATGTGCTATTCTTTGTAAAGAAAATCACCCAATAACCTTTATAGTAAAAATTGAAAGTTGTTAAACAACAATACTCAACCTATGATAGAGAATTTTATGCAATTGTTCAAACCCTTAGACACTATAGACTCTACCTTCTACTATGGAGCTTTTCTCAACATTGACAATCATGCTCTAAAATTTATTAACACCCAAAGAAAGTAAAGTTGTAAACATGCCAAATAGGATGAATACTTTAAGATTTTACCTTTGTTCTAAACCATAAACCTGGCATTGAAAACAAACCCACGTAAGCACTTTCTTCGGTTACTTTTGTTATCTCATATATAGAATCTCAAATTCCTGAATAAGAAACATAAAAAAAATATTTATTAAGTCTTTTATGTCTTTCTTTTGATTTATTTAGAACATGATAAGAATGAATCCATGTTAATAGTTTAACTAGAGACTATTTCAGAATTTATGGTTAATTGTGTAAGGGAGGAAAATCATGCATCCCTAGAACATCATTGGGGACTTTTCTCATCACAGAGTTATGTTCGGGAGGTGCTGCTAATCAATTTAATTAGATGAAAACTATACATCTCCCCAAATGATGATTTTATTGGCCTTCTCTGAATAGAGATGTTGGGAGAGTTATAACTTAATTATTTACTTGTAGAAAAACTAAGACTACAAAGGCAAAATTAGGAAGATAATGTGCCTTGTTCCATTAGACCTTAGGAAGACCATTATGTGGATTTTTTCTTTAGTTTACCTAGGATTCCCCAAGGTCATAACAATATTTTTGTAGTAGTTGATAGGTTCTTTAAAATGACCAATTTCTTACTATGCTCAAAATATAATGGTACTTCAATGCAGCAAGGTTATTTTTTAAAGAGATTGTTCGAGTCCATGGACTTCCTTCCACAACTACTTTTGGAGGTTGATGCGAACCAAACTAAAATTTTCTTTTGCTTTTCACGTCTCCTTGATTATTGGCATGTTTACAAAACAACCAAAATGAACTAGGGAGTTAAAAAATAATTGACTATAATTTTACATTACATTCCTTTTTATCAAATCAAACACCAAAATTTTAAAATCCTTTTCATTTAAAATACTTTGCATTCCTCTTTAAGCAAACCAAATAGCCCTTGGCTTGGTCATTTTGAAAATTGCATTTCCATTGTCATTTTTATAAAACAAAATAAATATTATTTTGAACATTTAATATTTTAGTTTAATAAAAAAATGATTTCTCATTCAAACATGCTTATTTAATGTAATAAAATATATTGAATTAAAATATATATTTATAGTTAAAAAAAAACTTTCTATTAATATCATTTATAAAGAGTCGTTTCTGAATTAATAACAACTAAAATAAGGTTATCTGATTAAGGCAATGTAATATAACATACATAATATGTAAATTAAAAAAAATCAAAAATATTACATTTAACTAAAGCACATGTGGGGGGGGGGGGCGGCATGTCCCCCTGACCCTGCACTGTTTTAATTATTGATGAGGCCAAATTAACTACAGATTCCAGCGCTACATCTTCCTCACATGGCACATGCCGTTTGATAAGAATATCTATTCTTATTTCAATTATTGATTTGTAGGGTACAGTGTCAAGCTCTAAGACTTTCGGACATTAAAATTCTTCAATAGTACTGTATCGGCAGTCCATTAAATGAGTAATGCACGGAGTCTGAACTTTTTTTTTTTTTTTATAAATAATTTTTGGAGAAGTATCGGATTCCGAACTTATCCATTATGACTGTATTAGATTGAGGTTTGAAATAAATAATTCTTTTCTGGAAAAAATATATCGAATATTCCTTATAAAAAGAACAAAGAAATCAACAACTAGAAATATTTAATAAGACATGAGCTAATAATTTGCAATGCATTTTAAAATATTTTAATAATTATTCTTTTAGTTTGCATGCTGATTGATGTCTTATAAAATTAAAATAAAAGCCTTTTTTATTTTTAGATTTATATAATTGAATGGTAAGAGAGGTCTTTTATTTTGAGCAAATTATATTTTCCAGATTTTATCATCTTACTGCCATTTCAGGGGAGGGTTTCAGTTACATTTATGATTTTCTTGTTAATACAAT